CTTTCTCGTCCCTCCCACAAATGCCAAAATCCTGGATGCTCATATTCTTCCTAGCTTACTATTTGCTTACAGCGTCTGCATACCCTACCACATGATTTTAAGATCATTTCTAGAGGCCAGGCACTGGTGGCTCATGCCTATAATCCTAGCTACTCAGGAGGCTGAGATCTGAGGATCACAGTTCAAAGCCAACCCTGGACTGGAAAGTCTGTGAGACTCTTATCTCCAATAAACCACTCAGAAAACTGGAAGTGGCGCTGTGGCTCAAGTGGTGGAACACTAGCCTTGAGCTGAACAGCTGAGGGACAACACCCAGGCCCGGAGTTCAAGCCCCATGACAGACCGAGAAAAATCATTTTAAGATATCTTACCTTAACAACACAATTGAAAATGACATGCAAAAACACTGCTTAGAGAATAAATAACCAAAAAGAAAAAACTCTATCACTAGAACCAGGTGCTGGTGGCTCACGCCTGTTATCCTAATGACTCAGGAGGCTGAGATCTGAGGATTGCAGTTCAAAGCCTGCTGGGTCAGGAAAATGCAGAAGACTTGGATCTCCAATGAACTAGTAGAAAGCCAGATGTGAAGCTGTGTGGCTCAAGTGGTAGAACACCAGGTCTTGAGTGAAGAAGCACTCAGACCCTGAGTTCAAGCCCCAGTACTGGTGCACATGGACACTTGCGTGCATGCACACGTGCCTGCGTGTGTGCGTGCGCACACTACCACACACACACACACATACACACACACACACACACTCACTCACTGGGATCCTTACAGCATTCGGAGGCCTTACTCCCAGCCATCTCCAGAGCTCGTGTTTGCATGTAATGAAGCATTCCCCGTGCCCTGTCTTTGTCTGTGCCCCTTTTGAGATTCCTGCAATCCAGACACCATCTGATGGCTCCACCAGAGTGTCCCCACCACCTCTAGCACACGCTGTCCGTCACCAGCTTTCTTAATGAACGGGAGGCAGACTGCCAGCCATCGCAGTGTGAGGGGTCCTGCCATCTCTCCAGCTGTGGGCCTCCCACTGGATACCGCCTCATTTCCGTTTCCTTTCCAGTTGCTTCCTTCCCCTAGCTCCTACCACCCTTAGTGGGTTGAACCCAGGGCCTCACGTGTGACTCCTTTCACTCTTCCTTCTCCCCCCATCCCCCTTCCTTCCAAGGCTACTGAGCCACTGGATTTGGATCTGGATTTGGGGACTGTGGGCCATCTTTTTACTGGTCAGTCCCCACTCCCAGGTCTCCCAGCATTGCAGTTCATGGCTGGTGCTCTACCCCCTGAGCTACTTCTCCAGGCTGACCTTTTGCTGGTTGATGAGAGATGGAGTCTGGTGGACTTTTCCGGAGGAGGGGGAGGGCGTGGCTTTCAATTTCTATGCTCTTAGATTTCAGCCTCCTGCGTAGCCACTTGAGCCACAACACACACCTCCACTTCGGCCTCTTTGCTGTTCATGAAAGAGAAGAGTCTCACCAGACTTTCCACCAGGCCTGGCTTCAAACTGAGATCCTCAGATCTCAGCCTCCTGAGTAGCTAGGATGACAGGCGGGAGCCATCAATGCCCCAGCTTCTGATTTCTTTGTTTACAAATCCCATCTTCTTACTACCAAAATAGTTATCCTGCCCAATCATCTACACGGCCAGTGCTTGGTGCAGGCCTGAACACGGTGCATGTAGTCAAGAAAAAAGGAGTTATTTACTTAATAAGTGGTCATCACAGTGATCCTTACCACATTACCAAGTCCAGCAGCCTGGCTATCCTTAAGAGTTTAGTGGCCCTTGGGATTGGGAAGGTGGCTCAATGGTAGAGTGCGTGCCTCACATGCTTGAGGCTCTAGGTTCGATTCCTTAGTGCCACATAAGCAGAAAAAAAAAAGGAAGTGGTGCTGTGGCTCAAGCGGTAGAGCACTAGCCTTGAGCTAAAGAACTGAGGGGCAGCGCCCAGGCCCAGAGTCCAAGCCCCATGACCAACCCCCCTCAAAAAAAAGAGTTTAGTGGTCCAGATGATCAAGCCCCTCCCATAGCAATAGCCTCCCCGTTGGCCAGCAGAAAGCCTAGAGTCTGAGAATTAGACCAATAGATTAACATCCAAACTCAAAAACTCCAATGAGGTGCCACGGATCGATCACCTGGCTGGTGTGGAAATGTTCTGGAAAGATGAGCTAAGCTCAGCCCTACCAGAAGTCCTGGATGGAGATTGGTGGAAACATTCCAGACTTCAAGTGCTGTATGACTCACAGAATCTTGGAATCTTGGTGTGGAATTTAGGTGGCAAGAGCGAGGCCTGTTCCGAGAAGGGTAAGGAGAACCCCCCCTTTTTTTTTGCCTTGGGGTGGGCTGGCACCAGCAAGTGGGTGTCAGTTGCCCCAGGGTCTCAAGGGACCTTGACCTAAGGAGTCCACTTTCGACGCTGTAAGCAACGGGGACTCGTAGAAGCTGCGGGGTAAGGACACGAAGAGGGTTAAATAATTACCTTGGCAACCTCGAAAGGCTGAGAAGGGTTAGTGGGGGGCAGGGGGGACAGGAAGGCAGGGCGGTCTGTTGGATCATGGTGAGGTTTTAAGACTGGAGACACAGCTGTGGAAATGGGGGTGGGGGTGGACCAGCAGGCCTTGAGGCCCCAGGGGCTTGGACGATGAAAGGAAATGCTAGCTAGGAAGGTGTCAGGCGTCGGAAACCAGAGGACTGTGGTCAGGCATTTGCTGTTCATGCCCAGCTTGGGGTGGCACTGGTTCCCTGAAAGCTCTGATGTCTTTTCTGAAAATGCACATCTCCTAGAGGTGGTGGAGACTTTCTCTGATCTGGGCCTTCTTCCCTCAGAGTTGGACTCCTGTGGCTAGGGGTGGAGGGTGGCTGAGAAGGAAAGACTTCCCATGTGTAGGCACTTGCCTCTAGTTATTAACTGGCACCCTACTCTGTAGAAGGGTGACATCCTGGCCTGGTGGGATTGGGCTAAGCCAGAATGCACGAGGTAAGGGCTATGTCAACCAGGATAGAGGAAATGAAGTGAGCAAAACTGTCAGAAGCAAAACCCAGCGCTGATGGCTCATGCTTGTAACCCTAGCTAGCTACTCAGGAGGCTGAGATCTAAGAGCATAGAAATAGAAAGCCACTTCCTCCCCCTCCTCCAGAAAAGTCCACCAGACTCCATCTCTCATCAACCAGCAAAAGGTCAGCCTGGAGAAGTAGCTCAGGGGGTAGAGCACCAGCCATGAGCAGCAACGCTGGGAGACCTAGTAGGGGGGACTGACCAGTAGAAAGATGACCCAGTCCCCAAATCCAAACAAACAGTACCCCCCAAAGCACATTTCTCATTGCAGCCCCCCCCCTTCACCCAGTTCTGGCCTCCCAGATCACAAATCTCAAGTTTCTCATCTCTTCTTCTTTGGGGGTGGGGTGGGGAGATGGGACTTGAACTCAGGGCCTGGGCACTGTCCCACCTTGAGCTTCCTTTGCTCAAGGCTAGCACTCTTACCACTTGAGCCACAGCACCAATTCTGGCTTTCTCTGTGTATGTGGTACTGAGGAATGGAACCCAGGGCTTCATGCATGCTAGGCAAGCACTCTACCAATTAGACCACATTCCCAGCCCTCATATCTCTTTACTTCTAAAGAGACTCAAATGTGTGCAGACCACAGCTTGTCGGTTGCCAGAATGCAGGGCAAAGATTCTCCTCTGGAGAAAAGGGTGTGTGTGTGAGAGAGAGAGAGAGAGAGAGAGAGAGAGAGAGAGGAAGAAGAAGAATGGGAGAGGGAGGGAGAGGGGAGAGGGAGGGAGAGAGAGAAATCCCTATTTGTGGGGGTGAAAGGAAAAAGTGAAGTTCACCCCCACACTAATCCTGCAGGTAGGTGTGTATGTGGGCTGAGTAGTATGTATAGTAAGAGTTCCAGAGCTCACAGGCAGAGCGATTTCCTGGGGTGCCCAGAAGCTCCTATCCTTTCCAAAACAAGATGTGCAGATTGGAGACTGATTACAGGCTGGCGGGAGGAGAGGAGGGGGTGGGAGGTACCTCATTAACCCAGGCTCCCAGAGACCTCTCCCAGGGCTGGGTGTGTGTTGGGGTTCTCATCTCTGGGAGGGGGAGGTCTATGGACCCCCTCTCCCCTCCCTTCCTGAGCTCTCTCCCTCACTGGAGAGGACTGTGGAGTTCTCTGTCTCTGTCTCTCTCTCTCTCTCTCTGGGTTCGCGCTGTGGCTCGCCCTCTCCTCTCTCAGTGGGGAGACCGTGGTGAGTCCTCCCCTCCTCCCGCCGTTTCCTCTCTCCTCCCGGGATGGCGGGGAAGGGGGGGGGCTCGCTCGGGGACCCCAACAGCTGCCTCTGGGGAAACGAAAGTGAAGTCGGCTTCAGTTTCCCGCGCGGGCTTTCCACCATTTCTTTCCTGCCTTGATTTTAACTCTTTCATTCCATTTGATCCCCCCCAGACACACACCCCGTCTCCCCCGATCCGGGCGCGGGGTGAGCGCGGGTCCCCCCCCCC